TTTGGCCTGTTTATTTAACATCCATATCTAGTATATTTTGAACTTAAACCTGTTGAAATATTGGCATGTATATATATATATATATATACATATATATATGTTGCATTGGGTATAGATATGCAAATATATGTGCAAACCTTTAATCATTAGAAAAAATTTACTTTCCGTCCAAATATGTGCCTGCAATTGATGGCTTAGGTAAAGTAATTCAGCAGGATCTTAAGCATTATAATGACAATTAGTGAATGTCAGCAATAACTTTTTACTGACGATAGGAATATATAGATAGATACTTCAACAGATGCTATGCTGTACTAGCTAAAATTTGTTTATTTCAAATAGTTAATAAATGGCTGTTTATTTATCTCGGCAGTTCTTATTTGATTACTTAGCTAGCTAGCTTAAGATATTGATACAAAGCCTGTTGGGGTTGAGTCCCCAAAGTATTTTATATTCTCAGTTCAAATCATTTCATGAATAGAATACTTAATGCTTAAGTTATAATCTATGACAGAATGCCTTATATTTGTTTCCAATTTTATTATGATCCTTCAAAAAATAATTTCATTCTACAAATCATTCGACTAACTGGCTCACTGTGAGTAAGAAATTTTAGAAATTTTTTTAGATTTAAGGTACAACCAAATTTGTCATGTTCATATATTCATTTTCACTTCTTAGCGAATTGATAATTTATTCAACATTTTAATCATTTATATAATACGGCTTTTACCGGAAAGGTTTAAAATGCATTCTGTGGGTATACACTCTGCCATGGCTATCAAGCGGCAGCGAAAACGTCGCGATGAGCAGAAAAGAGCCAAGGAGAGACGGTATAGCACTCAAAGTTCTGAAAGCGGTGAAACATTCCATTCGCCAAGTGGATCTGTCCGCCGTAAATATCATCATCCACATCATGCTGTCAAACCTGGACCAGGAATGTTGGACAGCCAGGTAAATTTTGATTAGCGTCGATATAATGAAATGACTTCAAGCAATTTTTTTCTCCAGGTCGTAACCAGCATCGGAATGCTGCACATTGGCATTGTTTTTATTGTCTTTGGCGTATTTCTTTGTGGAGCTGGAATTATACCAGATGAAGCTATGTCCTGGAATGTATTTAGTAGGGTTACGCTCAAATATCTTATATGTTAGATGCTCATACACATTTAAAACTTGATAGGCTCGAGCTCTGCTTGGTGGAACGAGGTAACATGCACTGGCCTTTTTTCCTTCGGACTAGGCCTATTTTTACTTATTCTAAACTGCCTTATAAGCCGCAAAGAAGAGGAGGACCTTGAAGACTATGTGCAACGGCAGCTTACAAGATCACGCTCTGGTAATAAAAATAATAAAAATGCTGTGTTGGTAACACTAGCTTTGACCCTATTTGTCAATTTTGAAGGCACTGGGAATTTTGTAGTACTTTCTGTAATGCTTTCTATAAAAATATATACTATAAAAACTAGTATGAGTTGCTCTATGCTAATCTCGTTCAATGCCTGGCGTTGATAACCCAATATATAATTTCAATGATATGCAAAAAAACTAAGCTTTTCTTAATTAATTAATTAATTAATTATTAAATTATGTTAAGTTTTCTTACATATATTAATTTTTAAATTGTGTAAATTAATTATAAATTTATTAATATCATACCGAATATAATTTACAGGTCACCGACTTGAACGAGATGTAGAGACAGGCGTATTAACCACGCGTCACGCACGAAAAGCTGTTGCATTGCAGAAGAACGGACGGAATGGCTTACCCGCGCCAACGGATGTAGCTGTTGTCCATTGTAGCTCATCGGAGAATATTTCAAATGGTCAGATTGTCGGGCGTAATGGTAATGCAAATTGTCAAGCAAGTTGCTTGAACCTTATAACTTGATCAATTTGTATTCTAATTTGACTGATCAAATAGGTCTAAATAATTCTGGGGATATATTACTCGAAAAAATTGTGGAGGAGGATACACCATATTTGAATGATCATAGTACAGCTATTTCGCCAATAGAAATCGAAAATGATACAAAACAACTTTTAAGAAGGGAATCAATAACAGATGCAATCAATATAACGCGCATATAAAATGTTTAGATACTTATAAAAACAAAAAAAATTTTAGTTTTTAATTATTAACGTTAACGTTTAAACAATCTATAAAAATATTTCCAATAGCTCTTTACTATATATAATATAACCTTTTAAATATTTTTTAATATACAGAACTAAATTTAAATATTGTACTTAAATTATATACATAAAATGTATTTATTAAAATTTCAAGCTAAAAACAAAAAACTAAAAACTGAATTCAAAACAGGTAGACAAATTTAAAATATTAATTGATGTATATAAAACTGTGTAAGAATCCGACATACTGCTTTTATATTTATGTGTATCATGATTATCTAGTTTAAGCTATCAATAATGACTTTCTTACTTTCTTAAAATAAATATATATACATATATATACATATATATATCTTAGCTACTTATACATAAGTAATATTAAGTGACTTTGGACTTTCATAAAAGTATTTCCTTTTTATTTATAAGTTTAAAGCAACCCACAAATTCTAAGCTGGAAAAAGTTTAGCTAGACATGATAATTTTATAACCATATTCTGGCATTTAATAATTTTTTTTTATTAATATTATGGGGAATAATTTGGCATTTATATTTATGAATAAAATACCCATTTAATCGAATATTTCAACAATCCAAATGTTTACACAAATAGTATTATTAATGCTTCACAAATACATATGTATGATTTTAGTTTGTAATTTCAATATAAGGCTGTTACTATTATTTTAAGAATACTTAATTTATATTTACCAATAATTGAGTGGTTTTCAAAAAAAAAAAAAAAAAAAACAAAGAAATCAATCAATAATATAATTTTTTTTAAATTCTGAACCAGCAAAGTGCACAACAAAAGAAACAAGACTATTTAAAGTAAACACTCTTTATCTGTATATACATATGTATTTTTTTAGGTTTAGATATACCGAACAAATTTACATGTAAGCCTAATTTTTATTGCTTTAAAAAAGGAATAACATAAAAAATTAACAGAATAAAAGTATTAAAAAAAAAAATACAAACAGTTAATTTTCTTATTTATGATGCATCCCTCTAAGGTCTTCCAAAATCCGAATGTCCTTATCCTTACTCAGAACGTTATAACGTTTAAATGAAAAATATTTGAAATACGCTTTTTACAAATTTATGAGTCCAGGGTTGATATGGGGGTCAGTGGTGAATTATCACAAAAATCAAAATTCTATAAGGTATGTACGTGTAGATTTACATTTAAATTTTGGCGACTCTAGCTCTAAAGATGTAGGAGAAATACTTATTTTATAACCAATTTTCAAAGTTTTTAATCGATAACCAAATAACAGGAATAGTTATCGATTTTTGACAGCAAATTTAATCTGCGTTTGATACACATGGACCCACTGTTAAAAGACACTATCACTCAATCGTGACATGGACCTAAGATATACTTATGTATGTATGTATATATTCTGAGATCGACWCGTCGCTCTGATCAAGAATATATCTATACTTTGTTGGTTCAGACAGTCATCATATGGTTAGTGTTTCAGGGTATAAAAAACATCAGAAAGACGAAATCGAAAATAGAGTGATTGCCAGTACTGTGGCGACAAAGCTTCCATCAATTTTCTATGTCATATCTCCGTCGCGTATGTCAAGTACATTTTACAATTTAATATAATTTTTCAGTATCTTTTGGATATAAGAATAAGTCAAATACAATGTACTTTATCTTTAAAAAAAAAACTTTAATTATATATTTTATAATCATTATATATTATTCCAGCTCACAGAGATTGGAAATTTTATAAATAACATTTTAAATTTGATATAGATACACCAAAAGAAAAACCAACTTCGATTATAAAAATCTAACGCAGATGCAATAAATAAGCAAAAAGTAAGAAAACCGAGTACTCGACTGCAGTATCGTCATTAGACTATCGATAACAATAAATGTACATTTCTGATTTTCTTAATGAAAACCGATAAAATAATGTTCACAAATAAGTTGATTAAAGTTTATAATCTTTGAATATTAATGTCAGAAAAAGTTAATTAACTCTGCTTCTATTACGATACGATAGAGCAATAAATTTTGTCAATAATGAGTGATGTTGACGAAATTAAAATCGATCTTCCCCCACTTAGCTTTGAAAAATGTATGTCAAATAAACCAATTTCCAGCGAATTGTATGTATATATACATATATTTAAAAATATAATATATATTTTGTAGGTCCAGAGAGCGATGGTGAGCGAAATAAGCGAATCGAAATTGAAAAATTAATTGCCGATAACCCTGGCGGCAGCATTCCATTAAAGGCATTGCAAGAGTTGGCCCTTGGCAATTTCGGATTGGTAAACGATGACCTAAGGCGAGTGCTGTGGCCGCAATTGGCAGGCGTTGATGTCACAAATTTGGAACGTGTGCCAACTCTTGATGAGTTGCAAAGCCACCCGGAATTCCATCAAGTTTTGCTAGATGTGAATCGCTCATTGAAGCGATTTCCTCCAGGAATTCCCTACGAGCAGCGTATCGCCCTGCAGGACCAGCTGACAGTGCTCATACTGCGAGTAATCAAAAAGTATCCCAATTTACGGTATTACCAGGGATATCACGATGTCGCCGTAACTTTTCTATTAGTCGCTGGCGAGGAAGTCGCATTTGCCATCATGGAACAACTCTCTACTACCCACTTCTCTGAATGCATGCAGGAAACAATGGAGGCGACCCAGCGACGTCTCATGTTCATTTGGCCGATTGTCCTCTTTGAGCAGCCAGAACTTTTCCACTTTCTACAACGGTCTTCAGTGGGCACCTTATTTGCCTTGCCCTGGTATCTGACCTGGTTCGGACACAGCTTAAATTCATACAAGGCAGTTGTACGATTATACGATTATTTCCTTGCATCGCCGATGTATACACCGATTTTTGTTACCGCCGCAATTCTATTGCATAGAGCAAATGTTATACTTCAGGAGGACTGTGATATGGCATCAGTGCATTGTCTCTTATCAAAGGTAATCGTTAATTAGTTTCTGTATTCTTTCTTAAGCGTCGCCCCCGGTGCAGTCGTCAGAAATCGAATGATATCTGTTGTAAGGTTGTAGTTTATTTACTAAATAAAGTCAACTTGCAGTTGCCTGATGATTTGCCGTTTGAGGACATTTTAGTCAACTCTAGTAAATTATATGACAAATATAATTTGACTGTAATCGAAAAGAAAGTAGAAGAACTTATTCAAAATGAGTAAGTACATTACATTGATTTTCAATTGCAATAATAGTCAAACATCTTAACCGCTCTTGTCCAACAGGAAAGAACAACACAAACTAGAGGAAGAACGACGGATTAAGTATCGACGATCTGTTTCTTCTAAATCTAATTATAATGTAAGTAAATGGTTCTTAAGCGTCCTAACGCCAAAATCGGTTATGATGACAACCGCCGTTTCGATTGTCGTTGGAATTTGCGCTTATTACTACAAAAATCAGTATTTGGCCGCGGGTATAAGCTGAGTTTGTGAGTATTTCAGCCCAACGATATTTTTCGTAATACGTTCGGCGTCTGTTCAGCCCAAGTGTGGTTGTATGGTTAAAATTTGCCTTTATTAATTAAGCTGAGCATGGATGTAAAAATGTACATACCCAAAAAGTAAGTACACTGTTAAAGTAAAGAATAAAAACATTTGAAGACATTGTAAAAAATTAAAATTACATATAATTTTGAATAGTGTATCCAGATCCAAATGCTTATTACTATTGTATATAATTTAAATATTTTTAAATGAATTTATAAATATAGCAAACTTAAGTGTATACATACCTTATTAAAATATAAATAAAATATTATGTAAACTAACATTAATGTGGGCTTTTATTTATTATATTTAATTAAGAATGTACCGTCAAAAAATATCTGCATAATAGTAATAACTAATTATAATAATCCTTAGACAATGAGGGATGTTCTAGTTATAGTACTTACTTACTTGTTTTCGCCTGCTAAAAGTCGACCACTTGGAGGATAAGGATAAGATTCGAAGTGATAGTGAAAGCAAAGGCTCGTGACATTAAAATTAGTAGTTATCTATATTAAACATAAATATATCAATTTGCGGCTTATATTTACAAATGCATAAACAATTTTATCATTATTTAATTGCTTTGTCCCTTTTAAGTGACTTCTCCAATACCTCAATCATAGCGCAAAGCTTCCCTAAATCCATTTCAAAATATATATTTTCTTGTTTTGAATGTAACTGGCAATGTAAATTTATGGTAGACACCTGTCGAATATTGCTTCTGAAACTGCTGTCTCCCAATATTAAACGTGTATCCCAGGAAAAAGATACAACGCTCTTGATATCCTTCTTCAGGTACTCACTTCTCCTAAGAGCATGCTCGACTGCATCCAATCTTGCAGCGAGCACCAATGGTACAAGCGGTCCTAATTCGGGACTTAAGTGTGGCAACTTTTCAGAAATGTCAGTTTCACCACCATCTGTACAACATTGTTGGTAGTATTTAGAGATCGTTCGTGTAGCCAGTAAGAAGTCGTCAGGATTTTGAAATCCATATTTATGAGAAAAGCGTAGAGCCTGTTGCTCGTTGATGTTTCCAATTAAGAACTCAATAGAAAGATGGAGAACCTAGTAGATAATGAAATGTATTTTATTATTTTATATATAATGCTGTGTGCATTTATACCTCCATAAAAATTTCTTTATTATTAATACTCTTTAATAACTCCATTTTAATTAAAACTTAACTCATAGTTAAATTAATAAAAGAAATATCACCGGTATCGATGCTTCTCTTTCAGTACAGTATTAAATGTTGATACAATTATATCGATACATCGAGCATTTGGACGTTCCCACTTTAACGTGCTATCGATAAGATTGATGCGGCGTATCCACATTACTGTAGCAAGGAAAAGTGTAAGAATTTTCTTTTTCTCTTTGATTTAGATAATTTCGGTATGTTCATTAGGATGTAAGCTATTAACATACGACAAACTGTATACAGTGGAATACGGTTATAGCGACGCTCTAAGGACCGAAGATTTTACGTTGGAGGACGCTTAAACCAGAAGGAGCAAAAAAAAATATTGTTTTCACTTTTTAACGGCTGCCACGTTCGTAATAGGTTTTAACATAAACAATTTTTATTTTTTAATCAAAACAAAAAGTTTTATAAATTTATTTCAATATCATGGTACGAAACATTTGTGTGACATCGGCATTGCACTTTGTCTCTTACTCTCTCTCTCTCTCT